GGTCCTTCTCTGACAGTGGCCAGTAGCAGATGGGTAGGGAAAAGTAGGAGAGCGTGCATGATACTGCCCCTCTACGCTCTGCCAGCTGCAACAATTTGAGATATGGGGTCTTTCAGCCCTTCTTGCAATCTTTCCATCTACCTCAGCACAGTTATTATTTATGACCTGGACCTCGAGGAGACGGGGAGATTGGCCATGCGCTTGCTTCTGCTGCGAGGACACTAACCTCCAGCAGAAGGGTGAAGCAGACAGAACCGCTGCTGCTGGATCTGCCCATGGTCACCTCTGAAAGCCATCAGTTGAGCAACTTCTTGCTCATAGCTGCCTGCGCTTGTTTGGGTCGCTCTGTGTCATCTGGAGCTGCCTGGTGTACCTCTCCATCCTGCTGCCTTGCTGCTTTAGTGGTTACAGCCTGTCTTTACAAGCCCAAATTAGCGTCAGATGAGAGAATATTGCTCACGCAGAGGAGCAGCAGGCGCTCTGCTTTGTTAACTAAAGGTCTTGATTTGGTTAAAAGCATTGGGAAGAAATGGGGATGCTGCCCTTACTGGTGCTGTTCAAAACCCTGAATGTTCCTGGGGGTGGGGTGGAGGGTGTAAAGTTGGCTTCACCTGAGTGACTGTTTTGGTTGAGCCTGGAACTTGTTGGCTGAATGAATGACGGTGCTCAAGTGTTCCAAGAAATGGGAAATTAAGCAATTTGATGGGAGAGAATTAAAGTTGCCTAGAAGCATTCTTGTACAGATTTCATCAGGCTTTGGATGCTTGCTGTGACCAGGCTGCGCAGAGACATCAGTACGAGAATCAGTACGAGAAGCAGCTGCTGCTTAGCGTAAAACCCTGTTCTCAGCATCCAGCATTTAGCTAGTGTAATTATTTCCTAATCACAATGCGTGGAGCCCCCAGCTTGTACTTGGAGGTGGTGGTGGGAGGGGACGATCCGATGCTCCAAGGCCATGCAGAAGGGAAACATCTGCTGCGGTTTCCAGCCTGCTTTCGAGCCCTGGCTCCTGGGGTCCCGGCTGCCCTTTGGCAGGGGGAGACCGAAGCTGATCCAAGAGCACAGCAGAGCTGTCTGCGCTGGGCTGGGCTGGGCTCGGGGCTCTCCTGCTCTTTAGCCTACGTTGTTCCCACTCTCTGGGCCCCTAATGTTTTTTTTTGAAGTAGGGTCAAGCCAGCTCATCTGCTAGACTTGGTGTTTTAAAAGCTGCCCTCCTGGCCACAGCTTTGGACCCATCCTGCCCGTTTCAAATTGCAGCTATTAAATGGCAGCCAAAAGGCTCCAGCCATCTTCCAGCTGCTCTAAGGGGCAGGTGCAGACCTTGCGTTCGGGCCAGTGGCTGCCTCTTTGGTTGGGCTGGTGGAAGAGCTGTTGCTCGGCCACTGTTGCTCCACAGCACCGCTCCGTTGCGGCCCATCCCCTCTGCGGGAGCTGATGCTTGCCAGCTAAGCCTGCCATGCCGTGCACTCCCCACACTCCTACAGGGCAGCGACTGCATGCCCAGGCCCTGCAGCTGCACGCTCTGGGGCGCATACCAAGTGGGGAGCTCGCCCAAGCTCCTCGTCTCCCTGCGGTGGGGCTCCCAGCCCGCTCCTCGCCTCACTCAGCTGCCTGGACCACATAGTCACCTGTTTGCACAGCCAGTAGATCTGGTGGTGCCCGGGGCCGTCTGGCTGAGCTGGTGCTGCTCTGTGCTCAGGCAGGCTCAACTGGGTGGGAGCACTTCGCACCAGCAGCTTTTGTGTCTGCCACTGATCCTATTTCTACTGAGTGGATTAAAAGGATGAAAAACCCCATTTCTGTGTCGAGGGCTGGCTCACAGCACGGCGGAGATGCTCCAGCTCTGATCCCTCTCCCTGCTGTCAGCTCCTGGCACAATGAGCAGCTGGCAGATAACGGGCATCTCCTCTCTGCCAGGGGGCCAGGAAGTGCTGAGTTCCTGGGGCACAGCAAGGCCCAGCCTCAGACCTTGGCACTTTGCAGTAATCCTCATCTCCCTGGCTCTTATCCTTCTTTCCTGAGACCTGTGCTCACAGCTGATGCTGGCAGGGTGGAGCTTAGCAGGCCTCCGAGCAAATGGTTTCTCGGCTTCGCTTGTGATTTGGGTTTGCTTCCAGCTTGTGTCAATTTGTGTGGCCTTAATTGAGCTCTTTTAAATTAACACTGCACAGTGGATTAAGCTGGATGGAGCATAAGGCTCCTCCTGCTGAGCAGCTCTGAGGAACCCGCACGTTTGGCCCCCTCACTCTGGCTTTGCACCGACTGGTGATAGGGGCACACAGGGCCCTGCTTCTCCCAGCCTCTTCCTGAGCAACCCACACTGTGCTGCTGGCACCATGTCCCCTCCAGTGCAGCAAGCCCAAAAATGGCACAAATACCCCATGCATTCGGCGTCCATCCTCACGCATTCCTCTCCATCCTCATGCAGGGTGACCCAGCAGGATCTGTCCTGGGCCCGGGGAAAGGAGCTGAACCAGCAGAACAGCTGCAAAAATCAGCGTGGGCCCCCTAGGGCCGGTGGTCCCTAGCCTGGCTCCCTTGTCAGCGTGTGTTCCCCCATTGCACCGGGCTGCAGCACTGCTCCATGTGCTGGCTGCCAAGCTAACAGAAGCGATGCTGGTCGCCCCTTTTTCCTCTCTATTTTCCACTTCTTTTTTTTTCCCCCCCTCCACATTTTTCCTTTTCCTTGTACCAGGGAGAGTGGAAAGGGTTATCTCCAGCCCTCGGACAGGGCTGCCAAGGTAGCCTCTACACCCATAGCCTGCTGCGTAGTATGCTCGGCTGTGTTTTTCTTCTGGAAGACAATGAGCCCCCTTGGTTTGCTCCATTAGGCTCCAAGGCCAGTGGGCAAGAGCTTGAGACCAGGCGTCCGGGTTCCCTGGGTCGTGCTCCGCTCCCTCTGTCCGGCTGCAGAGGGGTTAAGCCCTGAGCAAAGGGGGCCCTCCGGAAAGGGAGACGGGGCTGCAGAGGAGTCTGCAGTGCTCGTCTGCAGAGGAGCTGTCTCTCCTGCCCATCGGGTTTCCGCCGTGCCTGGCTGCAGCCAGTTGGGCCGTGCAGATAGGCAGTCCCTGCGGTGAAGGGTCCTGGTCCCGCGCCATGTCCCCCGGTGCCACTGGTGGCTTCCTAGGGTGCCTGCCCCTCCGCCCCAGCGGGTTCCCGCCGTGCCTGGCTGCAGCCAGTTGGGCCGTGCAGATAGGCAGTCCCTGCGGTGAAGGGTCCTGGTCCCGCGCCATGTCCCCCGGTGCCACTGGTGGCTTCCTGCCCTGCAGGCAC